TGACCTTCAAGTGTGATCTCAAAATCCATTGATTCCCAATGTGCAAGTCACAGATGACTTGCATACAAATCATCTTCATGGCACACATAGAAAATCTTTAATATTTGCCAAAAAGTGGGGTAAATGCATGAGGCAACTGGCTCAGGAACTCTGAGCATCCTGAGCCCTTCCCAGGCTCTGGTGGGTCATCTTTAAAACTGAAAGGTTCAATATCTTGGCACACTTGTTATCCTTTTGTACCATAGCACTTAGTTTATTCTCATCTAAGTACTTCTAAAAAATGTGCAGTAGTGGGTGAAAAATTTATAGGTTTGGCTAATAAGCATTCTCTATTTCTGGAAAAAATTATTCCCAATTTATCTTGGAGAACAGTACCTCCCCCATTCTCAGCCTACACAATTTGGGTAGGGTGCACTCCTAAATCCAAGGCGGGCATTTGGCCCAAGGCTGTTGAGTTAAAGAACCATAGCCCTTGACCAGGGTTAAAAGTGCAGGTAGGAGCACATGATACAACTTGATACAGTCACAACCAGGTGTAGTTCTTTTGCTGGCAACTTTGAGAAAGAGGAGTGCTCTTTTGTTGGAGTTTCTGTATCAGAAGAATAGAAGATTGGAGGGACTAGCTTACTACAGTAAAGAGAAAACTAGACTAAGAATGAAGTTAAAGCAGAAGTTGACACAGAAGAAAGCAGAAACAAGAGATAGTTGGTGACGTTATTTGAGCAGATATACCTAATTATGCCTAAAGCACTTCTTACACTGTATTTCCAACTAACGTGTATGTTTGTTGAGGGAGTTCGAGGATAAAAAGTGAAACAAAACTTTATAATTTGGATTTCGGCCCCTTTCAACCCAGGTTTCCCAAATCCATATGGATCACTAGATCCCTGCTTTATTTCTACCAAATCTGAATTTATGGTCATGGAGCCAAGGAATCTGCATTTTAAATAAGCCTTCTATTTAATTCCCATGCACAGTAAAATTTGAGATATACCACTGTGTGGGAATAAGGAGTGAAAAGAACAAACATTCCCCACCCTGATGTTTGTCGACATCAACAAAATAGTTTGTTATAGAATCAGAACTACAGTCCAGTTCTCTTCTTTTCTTCCTGGTAACTTGATTTCCCTAAGGCCATGCACTATTACTTTTTTCCCTACTCCAACACATTTTTCATCTAAAATGTAAACATTTACTAATGGCAAAGATTCTACGTTTGGGCAGCATTCATAGCATATAAAAATAGGAGGTGCTTTAACAATTTTAAGATAAATGTTACTAGTGACTATGTTCTGGACTTGGCAAACATCTCCACAAAAGTTATAGAAGAGAAAAGCATTCCACTGTGTGTGTAGCTGTTTTAATACAAAAATAATTTCTTCCAAAATCTTTCAGTAAAAAATAAATATTCCAGAAATAGAGGCCATAATTATTCTCCAGCTTTGAGTCCCCTTGGCACACCAGCAAGTCACCCAGGAGGTTCTTGCGGCTTTTTACCCACTTACATTTCAGTCAATTCACTTTCTCTGCTTGTTTACAGCCCAGGATTTCCTCTTACTAGAATAACAATGAGAGCAACATTAACAAAAGAAAACACTGTCTTTATTGACTACTACCCATGTAGAAGCCCAGGCATTTGCTAACTCCAGGAGTTGAGTACAGTGGTAATCCCCACCGAATGGATGAGGAAATTGAGGCAGAAAACTAAGAGACTTGCCCAAGGTCATGCTAATGACTAGTTGAACTTGGATTAATCCAGGCAGTTGGACACCTATGGCTCCTCTGCCTACATGTATATAAATGTTGTCTATTTTTCTCTTTAAAGTTCACTGAAATATTATAATCTGCTCATGCTGCTTCTTTGTATTCAAAACTCATGGAGCACATAAAATGGGTGGGTTTTATTCCATAAATTATACCTCAAGAAAGGTGAATTTAAAAATTACAAATTGTAGAGCCAAACTGCTAAGAATTTAAAGACTTGATTGCCCAATGAATTGAGTGGCTTTAAAAATATGGATGTGCCCCTGTGTATATAATGTGTGTGTGTGTGTACATGTATATATATATATATATATATATATATGGTATACATATATGTATCTATATGTATGTACACACACACACACACATACACACACACACACACACACACACACTATACTATATAGAGTTTGGCCTTCACTAAAAATATGCATAAGCTACACGAAAGGGTGCCTGTGTAGTTTTACAAAGCCTGGGAGTACAGATTTTAGGGCCTGCTCCAGGAGTCATGTATTTAGCTGGCATTCCTTTACAAGGTAGGATCATTAAGCTTAGTCCTAGATAATATTCTGATGCTGTGCTGATCTTTATGCCCTACTCTAGATGATGTATGCATTTTTAAAAACCAATAATATTTATCACAGTGAAATAAAAAAATTACCTGTGATCAATATAAGATCATTGTGCTCTTGAAAAATTAACAGTCTAACAAAGGAAGCATATGGCATAAGGAGTCCTAAAAAAATGTGCCCTCCTTCTAAAACTTCAGCTTTTTCCTCTTTCATTCATTAGCTCTTCAAATTTTTATCAGGTGCCCCTAATAAACATGGAAAGTTGTATACTATAAAAAGGGCAGTATTATAAACGGCTTTGCATCATCCCTCAAATGATATTATGGAGTATCAGTTACAGGCCCCCAGGCTTGACTCTTCCTGTCCACTTTGTCACCAGAGAGATCTTTTTTTTTTTTTTTTTTTTTTAAGATTTTTATTTTTAAGCAATCTCTACAGCCAACACGGGCCTTGAACTTACAACCCCGAGATCGAGAATCACATTCTTCACCAACTGAGCCAGCCAGCTACCCTCAGAGTGATCTTTCTAAAGAGTTCTGTTGGTGTTACTCCCATCCTTATAACCTTTAATGACTCCTTACCTCATAAGGTAGGAGACATGACTGGTGGTCTTTACACTGATTTTGATCTGGAGACATCTTTTCTCCCCACATGTATACTTTAAGATGGGGTAAGTTTTCAACATTTAATATTTCCACTTTTCACATAAAACCAAATTAGCAACTTCTCTTTAACAATTGGAAGACGAGGGGCACCTGGGTGGCTCAGTTGGTTAAGCTCCAACTCTTGATTTTGGCTCAGGTCATGATCTCAGGGTCCTGGAATAAAGACCTGTTGGCGTGGGAGGGATGAGGGCAGAGGCCAGGGCTCCCTGCTCAGCTCCCTGCTCAGTGGGGAGCCTGCCTGAGGAATCTCTCTCCTTCTCCTTCTGTCCCCTGCCCCTCCCCCCACTCTCTAAAATAAATAAATCTTAAAAAACAAACAAACAAACAAACAAACAAAAAAAACAGAACAAAACCCAAAAGTAACCTCAACTGGAAGACTTGACACTCGGCATCATTGGGCAGAAAATATATTCTCAGGATTGCCACAGTTTTTCACCGCTTATGGTCTCAACTTGGTCTACTTTGCTCACTTGTTTCCATGCTTGGCCTAGAGTAGAGAGAATTTGCAGTCCGACAGACAGGATACAGCTTGTCTGCAAGGTTCTTCTTAGTTTGTAGTTGCTTGATTTCTTCCTTCCCAAAGATCTCATGTTCCAGCCACACCGAGTTCCTAGTAGTTCCTAAACAGCAAGCTTGGTCATCCTCAGTGCCTTTCCTCATATTGGTCTCTCTGATTGAAATAGCCTCTATCTCCCTTTTTTGCCCAGAAGAGACTCATTTATCCTCAGCACTTAGTTCAATTCTTCTATGCAACTTTCCTAAATCCCACCAGAGTTATTTGCTTCTTCCCACGTGTTCCTGTAGCACTTTGTGCCTCTATTGGCATTGCAGTGGCTTTTCCTTCTGTGAGCCCAGTTGGAAAATGTGTTTCTTGAAAAGAACTCTTGACCATCTCCACATACACAGTCCTTAATAGAGTATCTGGCATGAATAAGTGAGTATTTATTGAATGAACAAAAAGATAGATAAGTGAATGAATGAATACTTTCAAGAAAGTTTTTTATTTGTGTTGCAAAATTTTGATGTTTAAAATAAGGGAAGTAACTATTCAAGACAAAATTTCAAAATTTGATAATGATCATGACATCTTTAGATAACACTTTTTTTTCCCCCCAGATAACACTTCTCAAAAGTTCCTGTTCATGGTATCCTTTCTCGGAAAACAAGTCTTGAAAAAATAAAATACATATAATTTAGGAAATACATAAAGAGTGGCTTAAAATTGACAGGGCAGTGCAATTTGGGGGGAAGGAGTGGGATTGTAGGGGCTGCATTCAAAGAGAGAAAGATGGTGAAAAAAGTCACAGCATGCATGTCTCCCTATAATTTGGTAGCCTCTCCAGCAGTGTTTACCTTGAGGAATGAAACATTTAGGCCACAAAGGAGAAGGGTGGGATTGTTGAGCTGGAGGATATCAGTGCTCAAGGGTCACTAAGAGTATGTTAGTCCTTAAAAGCTGTGCACCATAGCTCTCTACTTCAGGGCACAAGGTAGGCTGCACTATCTGGCCTCACTGTGATGATTCTATGGAACCATGCAACTAGTCCTGGCCAATGAGTTGTGAGCCCAAATAATGAGTCACTTCTGGCTATAGAATTTAAATGCCAGCCTGACACACTCTGAATGATCTTTATTTTTCCCATAGCAACATGAAACATTCAGGATGGCGACTGTTCTATCAGCCTGGGACCCTGAATGAGGAGACATGCAACAGACAAGCTGACTTGCAGGGGACTCAACACGACCAAGAAAACAACTTCTGTCACTGTAGATCACTAAACATTGGAATTGTTTGTTATTCTGACATAAGATCCCTCTCCTGATTAATATAACAGATTTGCTCTGTTTGGCAGAACTAAGACTAATGGTTGGAAGTTTTAGGGAAGTCTGTGTCAATTTTGTTCAATTTTTTAAAATGTAATAAGGTATAAAGTATAAAGATGGAATGAACTACTTAGGATACTCCTCATTTATACACACAATATACATTGAACTTTACCCTGTAGTAACTCTTCTGTAGATAAAATATCTACCTTGAGGTAGGTATAAGTGGTGAGTTCCCCTTCACTTAAGGTGTTTGCCTTGATAGCCCCTAAAGGTTTGGCTTGACAAATCAACTTCAAAAATACATTCCAACCAGGAACTTCAGGATGTGTACTTCCTCTCATCTAGAAAAGAAAAGAAAAAAAAATCTATTTTCTCAAATATTCTTTGGATTTCATCTATTTACGGACCTATTGAGTTGTCTTTTCGCATTTTGATGTCATCTTGCCACCAAATAAATTTATTAAAGGCCAATGCTGTTTTAGCTCTCCTTTCCATCTTTCTGACACTGTTTAGTAGGCAATATTTGTCATCTATTCCCCATAGGAAAATAATCAGCTTTTGACCCTATTTATTATTATTGACCATTTGATATGCTTCATATTTACTTGTCTTTCAACCATTTAAATCAGATTTGGACTTGTCAAAAAAAAAAAATCTAGGAGCAGAAATATATTACCCTAATAACTTTCAGGCAAAATACCTTTTCCTTCTGGGAAGGGGAAAAAAAAAAAAAAAAGGCTTATCCTAGTACTATTGAATTTGTGGCCAATTACAATATTTCATTAACATCTTAATTCAGTAAGTATTTAATGTATTCCTACTACGTGCCAGGGGGCAAGGTTTACAAAAGAGTTTATCAAGTTACGTTACTTAATGCACTGTACGCATCATTACATAATTCTGTACTATAATAGAGCCTGTGAGCTCTCTGTTCAAGACTATTTAGGGGATAAAAAGCAAATTCAAAAGGTTGGGGAAAATGTTCCTTTGGTTTAACGCAGGGGAGAATATCACACTTTAGATTTGGGGGATTTAGTTGATATTTCTGGGAAATAAGTAAGAGTGTGTAAGGGAAATAAGAGTGTGTAAGGGAGAAAAAAAATCGATCTTTGTGTGTGTGTGTGTATTTCAATTTCTGTTAAGCTTCACTTCAGCCTTTCAGAACTGGAGAATCAGCTGCCTGCTATAAGAAATTGCTAATAAGCAGTAATTAAAGACTGAGAATTTTTTCTTTCCATTCCAAACCTGATGTCATTCCCAGATGGAGATATTGGTACTAGTTAGGCAATTCAGCATTTTGGTAAAGTAAGGCAGAAGATTTGGGGTCTCTTGGATCTATGGACACAGGAAGTGGTCCAGGAGGGAAAACTTGTGTTTTGTTTTGCCCATGGCATTTATACCTTTTTGCTTTGCTTCACAGAACGAGGAGCTGAGGTGGGCACTTGCGTCTCAGAAACGAGGGATGAGTTCACTAAAATAACACTAATTCATAAACTTTTTATAGTCTTATATCTTTGGAATTGTTGTCTTGGCAGAAAACGATAATCAAATGAAAAAGATGGACATTCCAGTGGATCCAATACCACTGACAGGAAAGAACTGGTATATCAGAAAGCAGCATGAATACATGTGCTATCCTCCTTTATTTAGAAAAACGACACAAAAATACAGCACAGTTGATGTGCTGTTCCCAGGACTTGAAAGTAGAATCAACCACTGTGTAAAAGATAAAATAAGACTGCACGGAATATGAGGATTTTCCCAGCGTGCTTTATTCATAGACATCTGACAGAAGAGGACCTAACAGAGCTTTTAGGAAAAACTGAATTCTCAGCCCACAGTCACTTTCCAGGAACTTCACTGCAAACAGTGCTCTGCGCTGGCGGGATGGAGATCTTAGCAATCTCCCTCCTGCTTCCATAGTTTCCTTCTCTCTAAATACAATTATGTATGGGGACTTAATGAGAGAGCAAGCCTTGTGTGAAAGGAACTCAAGAAAGTGCAGCTTCTAAAAATACACCGAGGCGGCTCTACAGTCCTTATTGTTACAAACTGACGTTTTGCAGTTCAAGCTATGAACCTAACAACCACCCCCCCACACACACACACGAAGAAAAAAAAGTAGACTGTTTTTCCTTTCTGCAATCCCCTTAACTTTGAGTAAACAGTAGTAATTTTCTGTTGTCATACTCAATGCAAATTTCCCCAAGACGACACAACACAAAACAAAAGACCTGTTAGCTTCCCACGAGCGGGGTGGGGTGGAGGGTGGCAGGAAGAGAGGGGCAAAGTTGATGGAGTTCTCACTTCTCCTTAGCCTGGGGTCCTGAACCTCCAAGTCACTCTGCTATTGCAGGGGGTTTCGGAGTTTCAGTCACCTTCTGGGCGGGTTCCCTTGCCCCTCTCTTCCGCCAGCTCCCTGTCATTAAATTCGCATCACTTGCCCCCTTAGCTTCCAGAAGAAACTGGACCTCTCAGTTCAGGGTCTTTTCCCAGCGGATTTTAAAGTACAGCCGCCGACGGGAGGATACATATTAAACAAACAGGCAGGGGCGAGGGGTGGGGATCTGCAAGAGGGCCCCCCTTCTTCTCCTTCCACCACGTGTTCCTCAGTTGGGGTGCAGCGATCTTGGATGGGTGCTGAGAAGGGCGAGGGTGGGGTGGAAGAAGATGGACAGAGCAGGCTGTAAGGGAAGGAGGCCCCCTAGGAGAGATCGTCTCCACCGAACATTGACGAGAGAAAAAAAAACTGGCCCACATGCCCCTAGTGGGGAGCGATACATCCCACGCGGGCTAGGTTTGGGGGGGTGCGTAGGGCCCTCTCACCTGACTTCCTCCTCTGCTGGCACACACACTACAATCACCCGCTCCCCCCCCCCCAAAAAAAAAGCCCAGCCAAACAACGAACAACAAGAGGAAGCCGCAGGCAGCAAGAGGAGGGGTGCGCGTGGTGGGGGCCCGGGAGAGGTGAGGGGGCAGGGTTGGTGGGCGTCGAGAACCGCGCCGCGCACCCCTAAGCGTACTCCCAGGCGCCCACACTTACCCCTAGCGTCTGAGGGTCCGGTCTTCGGCGCCAATCCCAGCGCGCGCCTCTCGCCCGCCCTCGTCCCTCCGGCCCGCCGCCCCCCACACCCCGGCCGGCGCGCTGGGAGGGAGCCTGGGAGCGGCGCAAGGCGGCGGCGGCAGCGGCTCGGGCTCGGCTCGGCTCGGGCTCCAGCGCGCTCAGTGTAGCCGGCGGCCGCTGAGGCTCCACCGCCAGGGGGAGAAGCCGGGGCGGGCGCTGGGGAGGCGGGCCGGGCCCTCGCAGCCCCGCCGGCCAGCCCGCGTAGCACAAGCTCGGGAGCGTCAGCGACGCGGGGTCTGCCGAGCCCCCGGGCGCAGCGTGCCCGGCAGAAAGGAGCCGCGGCTGGATGCGCGTCCCGGGGAGCTGCGGGCTCCCGCGGGGGGCGCCCCGGCCGCTCCGGTGCGCCTCCAGACTGCGGGCGCGGCGACCGCCGAGCGGAGAGCAGCTCCCGCCGGCCCCTTCCCCCTCCCGCCCCCGCCGCCGCCCCCTCCCCCTCCCCCCCCGTTAACATCCCCTCCCTCCCCCCCCTTCCTTCCCTCGGCCCCGCGCGCTCGCTAGCTCGCTCCTCGCCTCGCTCCCCCCTTTAAACGCCCACTTCGGATGGGGAAAGAAGACAACTTGAAGTCAAGTTGCAATTAACTTCCGCGGCAGCCGCAGCTCCGGCGGCGGCGGCACAAGAGGCAGAAGCCGCCGCCTCGGAAGTCCGACGCGCCCGCCCGGGGAGCTGTTCCTGGTCGCGGGCCCGCACTCGACAGCCACCGCCGCCCCCAACGCCCATGCCTGAGTGAGTTCTGCTCCTTTGCCTCTCTTTTCCCCCCTATTCTTGCTCTTTCATCTCTCTGTCTTTTTTCGGAATTGATCTAAACTTCTCTGTAGCACCCACCCACGGCGCCCCTTGTTGGGGCAGCGCGGCTCCCCTCTCGTGGACGTCCGGCTGCAAGGGTCTTCCGAGCCCCTTCTCTTCGTGCGCAGCCGAACCCGGGAGGGGTGGGCCGGTCGAGCGTGGGAGAGCACCCGGGATGGGGGACTTGGAGATGCCATTCATTCTCTCTCAGAGTGTGGGCACCCTACACACCTGCCCGGCAGACCCTGGCGGAACAAACTCCTTCAGGTCCTCAGTATGACCCTTCTTGGAAGAGGAAAGGGGAGCGGAAAAGACCGAAGGAAGCAAACGGGAAAAGGGAAAGAAAGCCTCTCTGTGCACCCCGGAGCTGGGCTGGCAGAAGGGTGCCCGGCGGAGTAGGCTGGGGAGTGGAATCGTTCCCCGCCGGATGGCAAGTAAGCTCAGCATCCTTCCCCGGTCCATCTCCTCCTTCCTCCGCCCCCCGCCCGCGCAGCTGGTTGGGAGCGGCGGCGGAGAGGGGCCTAGAAGTTAGTGGCAACTTCTCCATCCCGGGAACACTCGGGCGCCCGGGCGCTTAAGTTGGAGCCGGGATTTTGAAAGCCGCGGCACTCCGCATTTCGAGCCCTCGCTGGCGGTGGTGAGGTCGGTCCTGAAGGGGCTCCTGGAGTGACTGTGGGTTTGGAGCGGGCCTGGAGGCAGGAAGAGGTGCTGCCCTCTTAGCAGGACCGAGACATCACAGGTACAGCCTCGGGGTCTGCACCGTGTCTCCCTCCTGCGGTCCTGACCCGAGCGTGGCGGCCTTCTCCGAGCGCTTCACTGCGGAGGCTCCCGGGGCGGCGGAGCGTGGGTTTGGGCAACCACCGTGAGAGGCACAAAGCAGGCAGGTGGCAGGTACGGGGAGCGACACGCGTGTACCTGGGAAATGCACAGAGCAGGACTCTGGGGATGACCCCAGAAGAAGGAGAGGGGCTTAGGGCTCTTGCTGGAGGTCTTGGCCGGGACCTCCACTGGGGCGTTGCACTTAATAGTGTCAACCCCAGGATCGCCTCTCAAAGTGGCCTGGTTGGCAACTTTGACCTCTGCGCCCTTCCTCAGCGAACTTTCCCTCGCGGCATTCCAGATTTCCAGGCAAATGTAAGACTTGGACTCTACACGGTTGTATTAAGAGACAGGGAAATCTGAAAGACGTCCTATTCTCAGGAGAAAAACCATTCTACCCGGATGGCTGGGGTTCCCTGCTTGCATCCTTGGCGGCCAGGGGACCTGACTTTTTCAAGAAGACAGAGGAAGGGTAAGAAATGAGTGAATGTGGACTGGTAGGTGTCAGGTTTTGTCCCAAGCAGTCCCTAAAATCTACAGTGTTTGTGCTACTGAGGGAGTAACTCCTGCGGTTTAAACTTTATTGAAATTTACACCCTACCTAAAGTGGATTTTTCTGAGGTGTCAGGACTGTAAGATTTATTCTATGGTAAAACGTAGCTGCAGAAGCAAACAACAACAACTACAAAAACCTTACTTTAATACTGGAAAACGCCAAGGTTGAGGTGTTTCCTCTAAAAACCTTTAATCTGCTGTGGGGTACCAATGCTATGATTTAGCAGCAGTCCTTTATTTCTATTGCATATTATTTTAGTAGAACAGTAGTACATTCATATACTGGCTGCTCCAGTCTGCTGGCAAACATTAGCATTCAAGCTTACATTTTTGACAAATGTGCAGACAGGAATAGCATGAATAGGCATCTTAAATATTAACAACCTAAGCATCTGTTGTGAAACAAATTTAATATATTTACTCTGTTTTTCTCACATTGTTAGAAAAGGTTATAATAAGTGCATAATTTCAACTTTAGTTAGCAGAAGTAACTGGCTGTATCTTTCACTACCTCTCCAAGTGTTTAACACAGTCACCAGACATAAATACTTTAATTAACTTGGTTAGACACATTATTAAATACACTTTAGACCATGTGTATACTATGTAAAATGTAACAATAGCAAAATATGTATCCTATTTGTGCACATTTTAAGTGACTGCATTTTATAAATATACCAGACATGTTTATTCTTCATCTCATTTTGACACTTATTACTTTATAGTTTTTCTAATGGAAACAATATATTAAATGTAGAGTCATTCAGTCATATGTAATACATAATATGTAAACAGTAGCTATAAAATACAAAGCATTGTTAAATTTGAGTATGGCTACGTGTAACAAGATTATACAGGAGAAACAAAAATCACTGCTCAATTTTGTATTCCTTTCTGAAAAAGGAATACAAATGATGGATGAAAAAAGAACAGATAGGGATTTCCCTCCTAAAGTACTAGTGCCTTAAAATGTGTGTGGGTTGGGGGTGGGGAGAGCAAGGGGGAGAAGGGGAAAAAAAGAGATAGAGAAAGAAGACCTAAAGAACTTCTAAAAGTCTGAATAGTTATTTCCAGAACCAATGCATTCCTCGTTTTCCCACAAGCTGAAATATGTAATAAATAATAGTTCTTTGTATGTAAAAGTATTCACAAGGAATGCCTTTTGTTTAGTTGTTGTAATAAATTAATATATTCTTTGGTTGATAATCTGCAAAAGTAGTTCTTTTGTCTCCCAGCATCCTAAACAAGAACGACAAAATGAGTATTGGTTTATTTCTGCAGACAAGCCTGTTGCCAGATATATGAACCTGTGACTGAATAAGCTATGGTATGCTGAGTGATGGTTAAGAAAGACTACATTGAATTAGCAAAGACTCAAATATCTGAAGGAGATTTTCAATTATTTTTTCATGTGACAGGTTATGGATTATAAATTAGGCCTAAAAGGTCAGGTGACAGGCACCTGTTCCTCATTATTGTAAAAATCTTTTGGTTACAAACACTATTAAGCTAAACACAACATGGATATACAGCAGGGACTCTATAAAGCACTCTAGTGGTTTTTCAGCTGCTCTATAAATTTCCACGAGGGCCATACACTGATATGCCCTTTACACAAACAAATCATTTCTTCCAAGACGTGTTGTCTTGGATGACTCTTATATTAGTACTTGGGATTCATGAAGTATATGAAATAAATGCATATGACTGAATCAATCTTCAGACCATGTCTAGACATGTTGTTATTGAATGCAAAAATATTATTTTTTAAGCTCTCTTTTTCCTTTGCAGTCCACTGTTTAATTATCAGGATTTGTCCATATTTTAAATAGAAACCTCCCCAAATTGCCTTCTGTCCTTTTTTAGAGGAGCTCCCATTTTAAATAATGCCATGAAAGATTTTGCTAAATACTTGTATAGAAGGAAAAAATTAGTTGCACTATATACCGTCATAGCTTTGTGGTATATAGAAAATGGGAAGAGACCCACATTTTACATGAATGCTGTTAGAAAGGGTGTCATCATTTGATCTTCAAAGTTGACACTTCTCTCAGGAGAGTTCAGTGATATTTCTATTAGAATTAGAGAGTGTGATTTGATTTTTGTGAATGGTTTACTTTTAGATATTTCAGACAGCAGAAAAAGCATACATACTGAACGGACCTAAGTAGCCAATGTTGTGAAATATTAAAGGTGCCAGTTGCTTTTAATTGGCAAAGGAGGAAGATTTTTGAGTAAATCTGGTAACTCAGATGATTAAATTCTATATTTAAATATGTACTTTGTCTTAGTTTTGTCTAGTTTCTGCTTATTGTATTTAGTATTCATTTTTAGCATTTGTGATCAGATTACAGAAGAGTCCTTACTCTTGCTTTTCAAATCGATTTGCTTTTCAAACTCCAAAACTCTGGGATGATTTTAACAAATTGGTTTACCTTTTGACAGAACAGAGTTAAGTCAATTAATAGATCAGGCACGAAAGATCATCCACGGTAGGGTGTATTTTCTGGTAAAATGAAAGTTATGTTTCAGCATGATGAGCATCAGGCTTCAGTAATCTGTTCCTCGTGTGGAATGAACACTTCCTACTTCGAGCTAGCAGGCACCTACTGTTTATTTACGCTGCATTAAACTGACAGCTCAGCAATCAGAGGAAAAATATTACTTACCTTCCTGAAGTAAATACCAGTTTATAGGTTAGTGCACGTATTTATATTCCTGTCACCACTAAATAACGGCTCTGTCTCCATTTTAATATCTACCTGTACTATAATCCAGGGCTTCAGACTCTTCCTGGTTGGGGGTAGGGGTCGAGAGGAGTTTCTCTTATCATTTACCAGTGACAAACCTTTAAAGAGGAGTAATATCTTCTTTTTGTCGTGTGAGAACCAGCTGAAAGCAATGCTATGCACTTTTACTTTACATACCTCAACTGTAACATCAAAACCCCCAAAGAGCCTGCATGCCACTTAAAATAGTCATCTTAGAGCAACCTCAGGACAAATATGTTCAAACACATTGAAGTGTGTGTTTGCTAAATTAACTTTCTGCAAAGTTCCAAGTAGATTACTTAAATTATCTTACTTAGGGAGTAACTTTGATAAAGGGTGGTACCTTCCAAGGCTTAGATGGAATGTTTCAGTTGTTAATGGAGATCTGCTAATGTGAGTACAAAGTGGGGTTCATCGATCGATCGATCGATCCATTGATACTGTTAGCTTTCCCCTGAAAATATTCTCGCCCCCTATGTTTGTCTTCTTGTTAATATGCCAACCTTAAGAGAGATTTCAACTTTCTTATAAGAATAATACTAAATGCATTTGTTGTTTTCTTTTTACAAGTCCCTTCTTTTTTCAAGACCCCTGGAAACATCAAAATACTGTGAAAGTTGAATTCTTAAACTTAGGATTAACTTGAGAAAATGCATATTTTCACTTACATTCTGTAAGTAGCTCTTACACCATCATCTACACACAGTTGTCAATCAGTAATCACATATTCCATTGACATCAGAGCAGAATGTGGTCTTAATACAGCATGGAAATCAAATCTGTTACACA